AATTCATGAGGGAGGCTGAAAATGGTGCACTGGTGTTGTGCTTTTTTCATTTTTTGGGGGGGGAGGGGTTGTTTTTGCTGAAGCAGATTCATGCCAACTGAAAGAACTGCACTCAAATGAGTGGGGTAGCGACCCGGTGCACGGGGTCACACCACCACTCACATTTGGGCAGCCGAGCCAAACTTAAATGGCATTGTGATCCCGTGTGCCAGGCTGCAATGCCACTCCCTCAAGCGAGTGAAGTTCTTTCAGTTGGCATGCAAATCCACCCCAGTGGATGAGTGGGCAGAGATAGTCCTCACACAGGCGAGACTCACTTAGCCATTCCCAGCAGAGTTAGGGAGAGAGGAGGACACTGGATAAAGAAATCACTTCCTTTTCCAAGGACGTAAACTGGCTGGGATGGGAATTTACTGCAGTGGCATGTAATGGAGGGAACATCACTGGAATGTATTGTTATTCAAATTAGAAGCTAGGGGCCCAGAAATGTATGTTTGCCTAGGGCCCAGTGATGTGTTAATCTAGCCCCGCAGAAGAGCAAAGGGCCCCTGAAAAGCAGCTAATTACCATTTTTTTCTTAATCCTGCAATTTAACAACCAAGTCAAATCTTTTGAAAATACTGGAGGTGGGGGAAAGGGGGGAGAAGCAAAAATGACGCATGCTTCTGCTGAGACCTGGTTCTTTAAATTTAAAGCCAAGTTACAAAAGTGAGAGGTGGTACACGGTGGGATAATATGCCCTATGGGGGCGGGGGATTTCTGAAGCACACCAACGGGTTGCACATTAATTGGTCCATGTAGACGCTGCTGGTGTGCTTTAAAGCTTGTCTAGTGCGCTTCAACCCAGTCTAGTGCGCTTCATCGCTAGGCAACCCATCAAGCTCAGCTAGGCCCAACAAGCCTTCTCCAAATAGTTGTGCTTCGCGACTGGGCAGGGGAACTTGAGCCTGGCAGCAGCAGGAGCACTGCGGCTGCTCAGTGCATACCACGCCCAAAGCTGAGTTTTGCCCTGCTCTCGCTTCCGCTTCCTGCTCCAACCCTTGCTCCAGCCATGACTCCCACCTGCTTCAGTTGAGTCCTGGCCTCCCTACCCTGATTCCGACTCAGACTCTGACCTTTGGCTTGGGTCCTCAACCCTGACTCGTTTCACCCTCGGATCGGTACCCGACTCCCGGATCTACGCTTGCCATTGAGCTGAACTGCCGCCACAACTGCCAGGCAAGGTCCTGCTCTGCCCACTAGGGAGGCCGCCCAGGCCGTGGCAGCTTCCTGTTTGAAACAATACTATGTTAAAGTGCACTAGGAACCTTTAGAGCACACCAGCAAGGTATACACGGAACAATTAATGCACAGCACATGAGTGCGCTTTAGAAATCACACCCCTATAGAGCACGTTGCCCCACCACGTAGACATGCCCTAAGAGAATGAGAACGTAGCATGAACAAAGCAAGGCGAAGGGATCTGCATGAATTCAGGGTTGTCAGGTGGATGTCATTTTGCACTGAACGGCTTTTTCTTTTTCTTTGCTCTACTGGCAATACTGCAGGGGATGTCTGTTCAGAGACTGAGCTGCTTTCATAGATTCACAGAACTTAAGGCCAAACGGGACCATTATGATCACTTGGACTGACCTCCAGCATAACAGGCCAGGGAACATCACCCAGCAATTCCTGTTTCAGGGATGGCCATGAACACTATCATTTAAACATAACAGTAACGGATCACATAAGTATTAGAAAGCAAAGCCAGATGCAATGTAGATAGATCCAAATATATCCATATAAAGATCAGCTAAATGTAATAAACTTCTTTTAATATACTTTCAATGCACATAATGGTGGCTATTAAAAAAGTCAACAATTCTTGCATACTGGTGCCAGAGACATAACCGCCTCTTCCTACTCTGAATAGTAGGGGAAACTGCAGAATCTCCACTATCACCGCGTAGGAACTGCGCATCGATGCTGCTATTTGAAATGGTGAGCCTTGTATTGAAGTAGAAGACCATTACTATAGTTTATTCTTCCCCCTGACCCACCACACACAAACACCCCAAGGACAACTTAATTGCTGGTGTAACTTCCCTGATATGCATGGATGACAATCGGGGTGAACTTCACAAATAAAGACAAATCTTAGGGTTATACCACCACACCTTGGGTGAAGAGAGGGAAAGGGAGCTTATATAAACTGCTAAGGGGGAAAAAAATCACTATTGGGTCATGTTTATCCATAGAAAAGGTAGACAGTGATCTCTAGGTAAACAAAAATCTTTGGTGTAGCCAAGCCGTCAAGAAACGTCATCATATTGTTTAGGATGTACCCCTTTCAGTACAAGGATGACAAATTTACTCAGACCTATCAAATCAGTTCTGCCTTAGAAATGCTACTTCCTCAAACCGTGGCAGCCTCAAAATACATACTGCACCACTGTTATAACTCAATGAGATAATCCTAATCAAGGCAGATGATGAACAGATAGCCAGAGAAGTGACTCTCACCCTTCCAGCTCCACATCCGACCACTTGAGCGGCATTTCTCAAAGTAGGGGGCATAAATGGACACCAGGCTGATGGGCAGACAGATCTCAGTTGTTCTCCAACATTTTTTTTTAATTAAAGCTAAAAAGAGTTCCTAGATCTCATCATTTCAAAGAAAACCTACAAAATTCAATGCTGAGGCATCCACCTGAGTTTGCAGAGAGCCTGAAGCAGCAGCTCCAAGAGAGCCGAACTGTCTCATTCATTTCACTAGGCGTTCACTTGGATCCCAGTGATGGCATTTTAAATTGTTAATGATTTCAATTATCAGAGGGGTAGCCGTGTTAGTCTGGATCTGTAAAAAGCAACAGTCTGTGGCACCTTATAGACTAACAGACGTATTGGACCATAAGCTTTCATGGGTGAATACCCACTTCGTCATGTATCTGACAAAGTGAGTATTCACCCACGAAAGCTTATGGTCCAATACGTCTGTTAGTCTATAAGGTGCCACAGGACTCTGTCGCTTTTTAATGATTTCAATGTTCACCATGGCATGTAACAGAGGAGAGAAAGCATCATATTACAAAGATCTGCACAACCATTTCCCGAAGTGTAGGATACATCCCCTGCTGGGGAAGGAAGGAAGAGCTAGCCAGTGGGGCACGGAAGATAAATACATTAAGATGGTTACATGGAGGGAGCAGGACTGGTTTCATTTTCTTGAATGGGTGCTCAATTTCCAACAGGTTGGGAAATGCTGCACTGGAAAGAATAGGAAAGAAATGTGGTATTTACCACCCTATCTTCCACTACCTCTACAAGAATCCCAACGGGCCAAAGAGAAACTATATAGCTATTGCAAGAACAGAAAAGAGACATTGTCATCATCATATTTCCTCAGGCAGACTGCATGTGGAAAGATAATTCCTGAACACGGATCCTCATTAATGCAGTCTTTAAACAAGGAAAGAGATTTGAACACAGTAAGCATTTGTTAAGCAGTAGCATGTGTCTTCCATCAGCTTTATTTTTGCGCAGAGATCACCATGTACTGTGCCGGAGCCATATCCGGACTCAGGTACACAGCTTAAACACTTCCTTAGTGGAAGGATGTTTTCCATTGGGCTTGGAGAGAATAAGCACATTGTAAAGAATTCCCACTGGAAAGTCTGGAGATACAGCACAGATCTTGTTAATATTTGAATGAAGAATGTATATATTTTTCAATTATGTTTACTTCCCTCATCTCCGATGATTATTCTCCACACCACACGTAGGGAAGAATCTGTGTACTGAGATGTAATTTTCACAACAGTCTCAGACCTCCTACCGAAGGATGTTTACAGTTATCTTCCCCCAAGCCAACCCTCCCCAGCTATTTATCTCTATCAGCACGAAGTACGGTGTTCTCCCCAACTTCCAGAGACTGAACTGAGACCTGCTGGAACAGATGACGAAGCCAGAATTCACTTGGAATGAAGAAACTGAGGCAAAGGCAGTTTGACTTTGAAGCAAATCTGTAAACAATCATATGATCATCATGGATAGTATATTGAGTTATATCTCCAAAAGCAGGTAGTGTGGCGATAAAAGAAAAACTGGAGGGCCGGAGATGCAGTCCACCTATGCAAAACAGGGTATGTAAGGTGTGGGATATAGTGGCACGCGCCACTGGAAAAATCAGGGCTGGGATACATTTCAATGTAGATAGGAAGTTAGAAGTGGGAAAGAAGATCTCTAATTTGGCTTTGCTTCAGTAAGGTCCTTCTTTTCTCTCTCTCACTCACACTCTCTCTCATACACTTCCTCTACAGGCTGGGAAAGAAGGAAGAGACACATCATTACTGATGTTTCTATTTTTTGATACTTGAGAGGCAATGAAATACTCCAGTGATGGCAGGGGTCCCATAAATAGATCAAGATTAGACAGAGAAAAGGGGCAGAAAAAATACCCACTTTGCCAAAGTCTGGCATCAGGTATGGAACTGCCATTTAGATCTGAATGTTATGTAGGCCAGTGGTTCTCAAAGTAGGGCCGCCGCTTGTTCAGGGAAAGCCCCTGGCGGGCCGGGCCGGTTTGTTTACCTGCCACGTCCGCAGGTTCAGCCGATCGCGGCTCCCAGTGGCCTCGAGGGACGTACTGGCCGCCGCTTCCCACAGCCCCCATTGGCCTGGAGCGGCGAACCGCAGCCATTGGGAGCTGCGATCGGCCGAACCTGTGGACGCGGCAGGTAAACAAACCGGCCCGGCCCGCCAGGGGCTTTCCCTGAACAAGCCGCTGCCCTAGTTTGAGAACCACTGATGTAGGCAATTAAGGGCAGCTATAGGACACTTGGTGTGCATTATCTGTCAGCTGTTAAGTCCAGGCAGATTGATCCATGTTTGCATGATGGCCACATTCATAACAACAGAAGCACGAGAACAAACCCAAGAGTCAAAGAAATCGTCCAGAGAGCTGATAATCTCAATACATAGCTGGCGTTTAAAACATACTCCTCCTAATTGTGCTGACTTACCCACTGTGTCACAAGGTTCGTCTTTGTGTACGCAGAAATCTGTCCTAAAAAAGAAAACAAAAAACACAAGTCAGGGGTATGCTGTGCCTCAAGAACAGATTAGAGAAAAGCAGGGGTCCATGAACCAAAGTTCTGAAACATTCCCAGCTATCAGGAAAGTCAAGGTCCTTTAATTGCTGTGTTATCATTATACATGATGACAACACGTAACAGCACTGACTTATTTTCAAGATGACAAGAGTTACTTTGATAGTTCCACTCACTACATCCAAAGTCAAACCAAACAAGGCTTCTTAAGATCGAACATGCAAGAGAGAACTGCCACATTACGAAGTAGGAAACCACATGTTTCTATGACATCAAAGTTTGTCAGTAGCCTAGACTAAAATTGGGCCACTCACGTTCACACAGTACTGCACTCAAAAGAAGAAGTCGGCATGCGATCCTGCAGCATAATCTAAAACTAAGGGAGGAGAAATCAGGGGACATTGTACATGGTTATATGGGACTGAGTCCTAGAAAACAAGTTATGTCAGAATCAGGCGTTCTCAATCTTTTTCTTACTGAGACCTTCCCAACATGCTATAGAAACTCCACAGCCCACCTGTGCCACCCCAACTGGTTTCTGCATATAAAAGCCAGGGCCAGCGTTAGAGGGTAGCAAGCAGGACAACTGCCTGGGGCTTCCGCTTTCCGCCCTGGGCCCCAGCGAGTCTAATGCCCTGCTTGAGGGACCCCCTGAAACCTGCTCACAGCCCCCCAGAGGGTCCTGGACGCCTGGTTGAGAACCACTGGTCGGAATCACAATAAAAACTGCTCTCTTTCAAATTCTCCCTCTTTTAATCTATTTCATTCTCTATATATATTTTTCTTGCTCCACAGACACCAAAAGTAAGAAAAAGGAAAGAGCCAGAAATAAAACAAAAGAAGGAAGCAGAGGGGGGGAAAGTAAACAAAATATTCAGATTAGCGGTAGACAAACTGACTCAAATAAAATATGACCCAGCCTGAATTTTCATCCAAGACTTGAAACAAACACCAGCCTTTCACCAGGTTCAAAAGAGTTCAATCGACCTGTTTCCCCCACCTTATTCACATCTCACTGTACGTCCTGGGTTTGACCAGGATAGGAAGCGGATTATTATTTATCACTGTCTGTACCGCAGTGAGACCCAGAAGCCCCAGTCAGACTAAGACCTGATTGTCCTAGATGCTGTACAAACACAGAACAAAGATGGCCACTGCCCCCAGGAGCCTACAATCTAAGTAATATCACAAGAATGCTCCTTCTCATGAGATTTCCAGCCCAATTTACAACATAATTTTTTTTTAAATTAAAATAAGGTTGGCATACATTTAAAGAAGGATCAAAGCATCTCCACGGTCATCTCCTCACCTTTGGGAACTTTCCTCTTCAGCTCCTGCTTGAGCAAAGAGTGCTAGCTTCTCCCAGGAGCACTGCCTTACAGATGAGGAGCCAGGGAAACCTATTAAAGCTGCTATGAGACACCAAAGGGTTCCTTCAATCTGATCAAAGCAACAGCCTTGTCATTGTTCCGACTGCCTTTTCAATCCAGGGTAAGTGGGTGCAAAGGTTATGCGCATACATTGTGGGTGTGTGGTTATAAATGCCCAGGCCACAGGTGGGATTTTCTGTTTGGGGTTTTGGGGAGGAGGGAGGGTAAAGAGAATGTCCTGCTGGAATAAAAATTTAAGAATGGGATTTTTCAGAAGAAAATAATGAAGTGAGATCCCGAACTCCCATTTCAATGAGACTTGGGCCCAGAACACCATTACTCTCCTTTGAGCACGTTGTTAAAAAAAATCCCAGCTCAAGTTAGTTTTTTTTTTTTTTAAGTTGCAGCAATGGAAAATAATCAATATTAACTGTCAAAATTCATATTAAAAAAGCCACCCTGAATATTTCCGATCTTACATTTCATGGCCAAAGAGCTACAATTACAACCAGCAACGGGTTAAAAATCAGGCAGGAACAAAATAATCAGAAGCCGTCACCGTGCCCTGGTCAGGGATTCCATTTTTCAGAGCAGCGCGGCCGCGTCTGACACCTTGACATTTGCTCTTGACTGAGCTGGCACAAGAACAATTCCTGAGTTCCCAGAGCCAACTTGACAGAGGTTTATTTAAGGACTTATTATGTTATATAAACTGGTAAATCAAACAGATGCTTTTATTGTGACAACAAATAGCTGAACTACTAGTAGATGGCAGAGGGCCATCACTAGAAATGAATCTCTCTGATGGGACTGGCTATCTTAGCAAATAATGCATTGCAAGGCTTGCCACTTGCGCTCTGTGGTTCTACCGGGAAAGGTGTCTGGTGGTTTCAGTCAACTCGGAGAAATTACCACCATGTCGTAAAACTAATGGTCTCGTAAATAATTCGGCACAACTTGCAGACTGTGACCGAACTCTATGGAGGTGGAATAATCCCTCACCTCTAAGGGGGCTGGTCTCTTTTGGTCATGGTGGTGCTCTTAAGTAATAATATAATATATGGAGATATACCTATCTCATAGAACTGGAAGGGACCCTGAAAGGTCATCGAGTGCAGCCCGCTGCTTTCACTAGCAGGACCAAGTACTGATTTTTGCCCCAGATTCCTAAGTGGCCCCCTCAAGGATTGAACTCACAACCCTGGGTTTAGCAGGCCAATGCTCAAACCACTGAGCTATCCCTCCCCAAGTGAAGCAATAAAAGGAAACCTAACATTTCATCTGCCATGCAGGACATTGCAGCTGGGTCTGTGAGTAAAATACCTTCAACTGCTCCCAAAACACAAAGCCAAGAAACCCATCCTTCTGCCCTGAGACCTTGCATCCAACTGTTCTGCATTAGATCATACTGACCATTCATCAGGCTTTCATAAGAATACAAGAACGGCCATATTGGGTCAGACCAATGGTCCATGTAACCCAGTATCTTTCGACAGTGGCCAGTGCCAGATGCTTCAGAGGGAATGAAAAGAACAGGGCAATTTTGAGCGATCCATCCCGTCGTCCTGTCCCAGCATAAGGCAGTCAGAAGGTTAGGGACATCCTCAGCATGGGGTTGCTTCCCTGACCATCTTTGCTAATAGCCATGTCATAGTCATGGATATTTTTAGTAAAAGTCAGGGACAAGTCAGAGGCAATAAACAGAAAGTCATCAAAGCCAGGACCTGTCCCTGACTTTTACTAAAAACATCCCTGACAAAATGGGGAAGGAGGAGGGTCTAGCACCCTGGCTCTCCTCTGGCCCCCTCCACAGGGGCTGGGAGCTGCAGGGACCCCATTGCCCAGTGGCTGGGAGAGGTCCCCACACCACCCTGTGGGGCTTGGAGCTGCAGGGGGGGGGCGTCGCCCGCTTGCCCCCGGCAGCTGAGTAGTTCTGGGGTCCTGCTGCCACTGCCAGCGGCTGGGAGCTGTGAGGGCCCCCCACCCGTGGCCGCTGAGCAGCTCTGGGGTCCCTCTGCCGTCGCCGCCACTGGCAGCTTGCAGCAGCTGAATTGTTGCAGGGGGGACCCCTGCCAGCAGCGGCGGTTGGGCAGCTCAGGGGTTGCCGGTGGTGCCGGCAGCCAGTCAGTTGCAGGGGTCCTGCCGCCAGCAGCTACCCCCTGCTGCCCATGGAGTCTGCGCTGCTCCGAGGTCCCCAATGTCATAGAGGTAGCTGGAAGTCATAATCTTAGCCTTACTAATAGCTATTGATGGACCTACCGTCCAGGCAGTGCTGTATTATTGCCTAGGCCGACAAGGCTTAGGCTGGCAAATTTGCAGGGGCGGAAGCTCCCCTCCGCGCCCCGCCCCCCTGCTCCAGCTCACCTCCGCCTCCTCTGCAAGTGCGCCGCAGCGTCCTGTTTCTCTCCCCTCCCAGCGCTTGTGGGGCAGGGAGGGAGGGGGGAGGAGGGGGAACGCCGCGCGCTGGGGGAAGAGGCGGGGCTGGGGGTGGGGATTTGGGGAAGGGATCCAATAGGGGAAGGGAGGGGACTTTGGGGAGGAGGTCGGAATGGGGGCAGGAAAAGGGCAGAGTCGGGGCGGGGCCAGGGCGGCAATTATTTCCCGGCCTAGGGGCAGCAAAATTATTACTCCGCCACTGCGTCCAGGAACTTATCTAATTCTTTTTGGAACTCAATTATACTTTGGGCCTTCACAGCATCCCCTGGCAATGAGTTCCACAGGTTGACAGTACTTCCTTTTATTTGTTTTAAATCTGCTGCCTATTCATTTAATCAGGTGACCCCTGGTTCTTGCGTAAGGCTGCTTTTGTTTGTAAGTGGCCACCCACCATTCCATTGGAGGGATTTTCCTCTCTATGGGAGCATTTAGTATTAAGTACAAATGGGGAAAACACCTATTTTCTGCTTCATCGGGCAATGGTAAATTCCCAGAAGCAAAATGTTCATGGCTCCTTTTCGTGAACACAGCCAGCGAGCTGGAACCAGAGTTCTCTTTGGAGATTGACCCTAAAGATTCTGAGTTCTCAAGCAGCTGCAGCTGCTGAAAATCCAGCTTCTGCTTTTTCTGGCTCAGCTACTTCTGCTGGACATGCTGTTGCTTCCATATCCTCCATGGCTGGTCCATCTGTACCGTCTGGTGAGGATCCAGGGACGCACACACATGCTTCTACAGCCAAGAGAAGAAAACCTAATTTCCTTGCTACACAAATAAGAACTGCTGGACCAGAGGCCTTCCAAGCAACACAGCATCCTTTATGTTGCAGGAACAGGAATGGGTTAGAACTGCGGGAATGGGAAAACACTGCAATTACATGCTGCTGGCCTATTGTGCTGGATAGATGTGGTTCTTCTGAAGAAAACCAGCGGTCCTGTGCCCAATTTTCCCCCTCACAAAATTAGCTGCTCTTCAAGTCTATTATCCAAACTAGTGGCAGCTGTAGCTTTCCGGCTATTATTACTACAAAACCTTCCAAATCCAGTTAGCCCAGAGAGCATCCCTACAGTTTTCTTCAAGTGACTGACTCCAACTCGTTTAGCATGACACCAAGCATTTAATTTCATAAGCTGCAGAGGCAGAGGGCATAGATGAAATGCTTCACTTCTCCCCGCCAATGCCTAAAACCCCATCAGAGTGATTTGCATGCCTCACCGTGTCACACGGGATCAAAAGATTCATGCTGGATGCACAGATGAGAGTTAAAAAAAAAAAAAATCTTATGTATTTATTTAGGTCCTGTTCCAGTCAAGCACATGTTTAACTATAAGCAGGATGTGTATTACTCCCACTGACTTCAAAGAGACTACTCACCCTGCTTAAAAAGTTAAGCATATACTTAGGTGCTTTTCTGGATCAAGGCCTTAGTAACGGCACTGAATACAGAGCAGATGGGGGATCCTGCACCAACGCCAGAGGAAACTGCACAATCATATACAAAGGTGTATTTTGAGGAACTCTACTAGCCCGTTGCACTGGCACAGCAATCACTGACTGGATATTCTACAGCCCACTTTTATTTAACAATCATTAGCACCCCAACCATAATCAACATGCCTATAGAAACAAGAGAAAATGCTTTAGGGAGGGACTTTAAAAATGCTAATTGCTAACAGGGTGAAAACTTATACTATAGAATCCTGTTAATTTGGCTAGTCGCTCCCACTGACAGCAGCCCTGTGCAGTGAATGCAGTGTAGCTAGTTCAAAACACTCATTCTCAACTGTGTTCAAACTGTGTAAGCAACTTAAAGGGGGAGGAAAATGGTTTTTTAAAATGGCCCCTGTTAATAAATTACCCGAAGCGCAGACAGAGAATAAGAAGAGAAACCATTTATATAAACGTCTGGGAAATACGTGAAATAAAATTCTGTGCCGAATAAGACTCTACAACAACGATGCTCCCCGAGTTTAATCTTGTGCAGTTCTGCTTTTAACCTTTACTTTGCTACTCTGCATCAAGCACCTCGAATTTAGGACTACAGACCACTTAATCTCTTGGCACTCACCAAATGCATCCCTTATATGAGACATTACTACCTGATTAGCTGTCACTGCCTTTCACTGGGCTAAATCAGTTCCATGAGAGCTATTGCTATAAAGTGGCCAACCTTATATATGGAACCTTGGTGAAGTATCTCTGCATATATCTGGATCCATGATGTACAAAGATACAGGAAGACTTTCTCCAGGCAAATGCATTATGGGGCATTGAAGTAAGGTGCTGGGAAATCATTTTCCAAAGAGTATCAATACTATTGTACCTATACAGAACAGGAAGAGCCTCAATTTTTTTGTCGTGAATCTTTGCTTTCTATTGACATTCAAAATCGTTCTTCCCTACAGATACTTTAATTTAAAAATCACAACTGCAGTCTTCTTACAAAATAGAAGAAGATGTGGAAACATTTTTTTCTATTCACATTATAGACAGAAAAGAAGTACAAGGATGGATAATAATGCTGGGTATAGCAGTATTCTGTCCTATAGGTCAACATGGGTAACATCCCTTGGATTTGAACCTTAGGCTAGCATGGTGTATTTGATCACTATATAGAGCCACAAAAGGGTGACCCTGGACAATCTGTGCTACGCGCCAATGGAGAGAGCAAATACTAATTAATGGTGGTTTAGTGCCATGGTGGATGAGTTAGTTGGGGATTGGTCCTGCTTTGAGCAGGGGGTTGGACTAGATGACCTCCTGAGGTCCCTTCCAACCCTGATATTCTATGATTCTAAGTAGATCAGATAAGTGCTGGTTCTAAATAGAATACCCACAAACTACACAACCCAACAACAACAAAAAGTGACAGAGAAAGCGGGGACTAACACATAGTCCAGTAGCATTCAAAAAAGGAGAGACCTTTCACTGCCACTGAAAGAATTTTTTTCTTTTAAATCAAGACAAATCACTCCATTCTGCTCTGTTTTACCCATACAGCCCAGCATGCCACAAGCTAGCATGAATGAGGGACAAACATCAGCAACAGTGGGAAATGGCTCCTGGAATTACTTGCCGATCAGATGGCCCATACAAACAGGAACAGCAAACCACTTCCACTGTACCTGGTAACAAAGACAGCAGCGTCCACAGGAGGGGTATCATCTCTTGCACCAGGAACCTGATTATTGCCAAGATACTTTGCTCCACCATACTCTTCATTTTGCCAGTGACAGAAACTCTCCAGAGACCTCTCTCCATGGTGCCCAATGGACAGTTTTGCCTTTAGAAAACAAAAAGGAATTCAAAGAAACAAAGATTGGTCAAACTAGGGGATCCCTAGGTCTATGTAGCATAAAATCATTAAGTGACAAACATACATTCAAAGTTATACTTGTGAAGGTTATATGTGCATCACCATGGCCTTAACCTGGGGCCTGAAATTCAGCACCAAAGCACTGATCTCTACCACTTCACCAAAAGAGCTAATGCCATCAGCTGGTAACAGTAGCAAGCTTCTTTGGGAGTACTAGGCCCAAAGGGTTTATAGGATTGGGAACTGTGGTTTTGATTCCCTAACCATGTTATTAAATCTTTATAACAGCTACTCCCCAGCCTAACTGGTGATTTTAAAGTAAGACCACAGCAGCTGTATAAAAGTTTTGAAGAACTTACAGGACGGTTTCGAAGGAGAACTAGCTTGGTCACTCGAATGCTGACTTTAATTCCAAGGCTCTGGTGCTGAAACATATTGTACACCTGTCAAAATGCAACAGACAACATGTCAGAACAGCAAAAAGGAAAACGTTAACTAGAAGCAGATGAGGAATTAACCATGACCAAAAAGAGGTTCCTCCCCCCCCCCATTAAAAAAAAAATAATAATAATCAAAAACGTTGCCTCAATCCAAAAACAAATGGATCGCATTATTAAACAAAAATACAGAATTATAAAAGGAGGTACTGTAGTGCCGTTTCAACCCAGAATATATGCTAGATAGTAGCAGCTACAACTCTCAAACAAATAAAATGTATTTTCCCTAAGGCACATCTTTTGGCTTCACCACACTGAACGATTTTTCACACACATCCTCCAGCAAGGTTTACCATCCAGGGTAGATCCACCCAAAAAAACAGACAAGTCCTTTTTAAAAAAAAAAAAAAAAAGAAGAAGAAAAGAACTAGTAACAATGTGCTTTAACAAGGGTAGCCAAAGGAAAAGATCTGCTGGAGAACAGAGGAAAGGAAATATATTCCAAAGGAACATTAAATAGAAACTAGAGATCTCAGAAACACGAACACATGTTAAAAACTGGTAGCTAATACAGACTTTCAGCATTTAAAACGTCAGTGATATCTGAATGCAAAAATGAAATAATGGTGTGTTTTAGACTGCAGGAAATAGAATGGAAAAGCAATTTCCCTGTGTTGTTTTCATATCTTATGTAAGAAAATAGTAATAAGTCAGGTTTCAGAGTAGCATAAGTGAGCATATAATGACACAAGCCTCAGGAAATACAAAAATAGTGCCGGAAACTACCTTACTGCTATCTCCAGATTTCACATTCCTGCTCAGATAGTTCACCTCATTTATAGGTTAGAACACCGAACTCTAATTGATCCCAGAATTACATTCCGCCCATTTCTCTGTGTACAACTGCTTTGCCTAAACCACATCAAAAAAGGTGTAAGCGGGGAAATACATTATAAAGTATTTTAAACTTTTTATAACTTTGGGACAAATGCCACACTCCCTACTCAGGCAAAAAAAATCAAAACCACGGAAGAGACTTTTCTGAGTAACGACGACAAGATCAGGCCCTGTTTGTTACCTGGATCTCATCTGGTTGTAAATGTTATTCAGGCTACATACAGACAGACGGAAACTGGATCTTTTTTTTCTTCCTACGATGAAGCCACTACATGAACATATTTTGGGCGATCACATTTTCAAAACCCTAAATTTTCCCTAACCATGAAAGCACTCAAGTATGCACTTAAATTTATGCACATTCTTAAGTGCTTTCCTGAATAGGGAAGGATTTAAGATGGTGTTTAAATCAAGTGGTTTCTCAATCCGGGCCCAGACTGGAGCCAGCAGCTCCTGTGCTCTAATCCACATTCAGCCCTCTGACCTCCTGTATGATCTTGGTAAATCCACTTTCCTTTTCTATGGCCCTATTTACCCGTTTGTAAAATTGCTGGTACTACTTACCTATCTTACACAAGTGTCTGACAATCTCTTAGGCCCGGTCCAAATGATCACTTATTTCATGGAAAGCTGGGGAGTAAATCTACCTCGCATTAGCTTGCCTCAGACTAACTGGCCATGGGGACCAAGGTGGCATGCACTAACAGCTCCCTAGCGCGCTTTGATCTACTCCCATTTCAAAGCACACCTGGGAACTTTCAGAGCGCAGCAGCAGGGACCACAGGTCTCAAAGCTGGGTAGATTTATTTCCCAGCTTGACGTGAAGTAAGTGTTCGTTTAGGTAAGTCCTCGATGTTTGAAAATGTAAAACATTATGTTTATAGTATTAACATCCTTATTGTTAAATAAACTAAGGAATGAAGCCAGTGCTCCATCCAGAGTGGGCAAGCTTATGCCCCAATCCGGCCAACTGGCTCAGCATGGGTGGACCCTGACACTTGCATGGAGCCCCACGGACTTCAAGGGGGCTCTTCGTAGGCAGCAGATTTGCCTGCGTGGAGCCAGTTGCATGGGGCCTAGCAAACTATTCTGGGATTCATCAAGCTACTCTGAAACCATGACCCCCATTCACCTCCAAGATACCTTGATTTTTTTCCCCAGTCGGCAATTTCAAATGTACCCCGGCTTGCCCTGCAATTTCAACATGTGGATCTCTACCCTCTGTCTCACAATTAAAAACAAACCACTTTGCAGTTTCTTTATCTGTATTTTTTAAACACATCTATAGATGTCCAAGTGAAAAGGTAAACTGTGCTACATATAAAAGCAAGAGCATCCTCCTTCTTTCACCCTCCAAATACAAACAATCTGGCACAGGTGGTTGCCCTATCTAGACACTGTCAAAGAACCCAACCACCAGGTTATCTAGGTTACAGAGACTTTATCATGGGATTTCCTTTCCACCTGCCCTCTGCTCGCTTCCACCACCCTCCGTCTGTCCTAAGCACATAGAAAATCCATCAACGTTAGAGTCCAAAATCAAAATTCTGAACCCAGGAGGGCCAAGTGGATTAAAAATTAAGCAAAAGTTCCAATGTGGTCACGCTAATTCCCTCTCACTGTAATTAATGTCTTACAATGTGTGGATTTAACATACTGGAACTTGCCCAATGCCATTGCATATTATGCGAACACTCTCTAATAATGCGGCTTGTACTTGCAGAACAAGACGAGGTACACCTTGTCAGCAGGAAGTATTGTTTCTAACATTCCAGCACTGACCGTTTGCCTCGTTTTGTAGGCACTGCAGTGTCATAGCCACTGTGTTCAGTCGGAGTAGTCCCACGAGTATGCAGACTTCAATGCCACAACATAAATTTATTAACGGGATTATATGACGGGGTAATCTGCAACAACAGGTGACTGAACACGATGACCCAGGCAGTCCCTTGCGACACTATGTTCCGATCTCCAAGTAGATAGACCGTTACCATCAAAAGGCTGGAGAGCACTGAAGCTGGGGGCCATGCATTGTAGTAAATAATTATTAATGACGTCTGAAGCACAATTCTCAAAAAATCCTTCACAGTTGCCAGAGGAAGAGGAATACCAAATACTCCTCATTTCAAAGGGAATCCCTCTTTTTGTTCCTCGGGGTTTAAACAGGGGTAGTAAACTCTGCCTAGGACGTCAGCACTGTGACTTACAGAACTGCAGTTCACCATAGAAAACATCACATTTTAAAATGCCAATATTCTCCCATTACACAAGTTCGAAAGTGGAGAGAGCGCATCTCCAAATGTCTTCCTCATTTGTTGTCCTTTGCCTCCTTCCGTTGTTGGGAAAAGGCCACGAGCAGAGGGCGGAAGGTGAAGTCTCATTTATCCATGAATGGAAGCAGTTCAACGCTGCCAACAAGTAAACTCTCCTGTTAAAAATGCTCCAACACCCGGGGGCAAGTTCACAGGAAAACTGAACTCGGAATGGGACTTAGACTTGGCACTGCAGGGAGCACCATCATTATTTTTTACGGGTTAGTGCTTAAAAAAGAGAGGCAGGCGGTTCACACCAGCCGCAGAAAGGCACAGTCCCTGCCCAAAAGAGTTTACAATCTAAATCAGATTAAAACTGCATTGGGACAGTAGGACATTTATAGGGAGTGATTCTGGGCACTGGATATTTTCTGTCTGCCTTCTTCTGAGCAGCCTGGCAATTCCATACTTTTCACCAGCCAAATGAGTACTGGGTGGATCTGTGCAGCCACCAGCTACATTTCCTTTGGGAAGTTCTAGCTTGTAGAAACTCAAATAAGATCAGTCCTTATTATTATCACACTCTGACTCCAAAAAAACCCATCAAAAGCTCAGACCTGTGGATGGCTTTCTACTTTCTGCAGTGCTCACAGAGACACAAGGTATCAATAGCCTGCTCCCGTTCTTCAAAATGTTCTTCTGCCAAAGTCAATACAGTTCTTCTTACGTCTTCTCTAGCCACAGCTGTTTGTGAACTCCATAGCAGTACGTGTCGGTTTAGACACCACCTATGCCATGGCTCACATCAAAGGTCCCAGTGCACCAAACTACATGAAGGACACCAACAATTCGGTTATGAGTGCGGTTATGTATGTAACTCTCAGGACATGTAACATCAGCCAGTGAATCTTGGGTCTCAGAGCACTTAGTGCAAAAGTAAAACCTATGCTTTTATTTTAGGAGGCCTCTCGTCTCCTTAGCCTAGGTGGAAAAGCATGCTACGTCAAACAAGGTATCTAGCCCAGCTGAAGTTTGCCAGCATGAAGGTGAAGCGATGACTGATTTCACTGGGTGACATCATTTCAATATCAGGACTGGAGTCAACCACTGAAGTTCTACACCATGCATGGAAACTCCCTCCACATACTCCTTCAGTTCATTTTTCTAGGGTAACACGGAATGCTAGGAAGATGTCTGAATGTTGCTGGCAGACTCTGATTTGCAATGAGTGTAATTTGGTGAGGAGTCCATTGAAGGACCTCATTTGCCCAATTACTCAACCTAAAAGTATTACAAGTGGGCCTCAAGCTGGTGAGCTGGATTATCAGGATCCAGGAGCAGCCAGAAAATATTTCACTTGGGCTTCTTTGCCTTAAAGGCAACATCCTAAAATACATACTTCACTCAATGGACGTGGCACAACCAAGTAATGGTCTGTGATGGAGACCTTGTCATTGCACTTAGGGCAACATCTGAAGCTGCTGGATTGTTTGCTGCTTCCCCAAAACTTTAAATAAAGTGCACACACTGGTAAAAAAAAAATAAATTCTCAACTGCACTAAGAACTATGGCTATATCTATCCTCTGTAAAGAAAACCAATCCTAGCTAAAACACAGTAAAGACCTGTCCCAAATCATAGGCCAGAAGGGACCACAGTGGGAGTCAGACCTGGCCCTAAATGAGGTCGCTGTGACACATCGTACCAATTTCCTTGGCATACTTTGGGTAGCCAATCCCAGATGCTTTATGATAATGAGTTAAATGCAGGTACTCTGCAGTGACCAAGCTGGCCTAGGAGGTAGCCAACATGTCGTCAACTTGGGCAAGTTAACCCGTGTCCCCAAGTAAAGAATCCC